ACCATTAGACCCTCCTTCAAAAAAAAAAAAATTCATGCACAAGTAAAAGCAAAAACAAAAAAATATATATTTTTAAAACCAGTAAATGTAAATTATGTGCTAAAATATATAATTTATTGGAACTAAGCTGAAAAAATAGAAGAAAAATAGAGTGGAGCAAGGGAGGCGGGACTCCCTGCGTTAGACGCTCTGTGATAGGCTGACACTGGTCTGTCAACCGACGTGTTGACGTCTAGCTGTCATTCTGCTGGTTAAATCAGATTGAAGTGTCTTTCTTGAAACTGTCTACATCTGCTGGTTTTAAAAGGAAGTACATGCTTCAAAAAAAATTAACCAATTTATACTTTTTTAAAGCATTTCAGCTCTCAACTCAAACTTAAACAAAGTTTAATCAACTCTGTTTATTCAAAATAAAATAAAGCTTAAAACTGAAGCATTAATAAAACCTAATTCAAATAAACAAAGGGTTTACTTCTAAAACATCCCTATATTGAACAGGCTTTAATTTTACTAGACTYATTCTGTTTGACAAACGCTGTTTGAATAGAGAAGTGTTTAATAGGAGCCTAAACTCTATAAACAATTGCTGACAAGCAGTCGTTAAAGGTTTATGCTTAAATGTTGGACATCCTCTTATTAAACTATAGTGATTTGTTAATTAGATGACTCTGTAAATATTTAACCCAAATATAGAGAAACATCAAAGTAATAATTTATCTTTGAGACAATTTAAAAAGCAGTAACAAAATACTGGTTTTTAACAAAATACAGCTTCTTACTCCACAGAGCTGTAAACAAATAGATTTAAACCAAATCAAAAATGTTTTACAAAAGGTAAAATAAAAAGAACATTGAACAAAAGGTATTAATGCATACAACTTTATTGCAGTCTCATTAACAATTTTGTAAATTAATTCAATTATTTTATTTGTTAAATTGTTTTAGATAATTTAGCTGGTTTTTTTTAAATATTTGTTTTGTAAATAACTAATTATACAGGTAAAGC